GGCACACAATGATCAAATTTCCCAATCAGTGTTCTATAGCATGCAACAATTTTCTTGCATTTGATCTTGCTACTGTGCCTTGTCTATGAAATAGCAATACATTTGTGTTTGAAAAGGTAGGCAATATAGTTCCTGTGCTAGGCTGGCCATGTATTTGCTATTTGATGGAGCCCCCTTTAAAAAAAAAAAAAAAGTTGTCTGGAACAAGTCCAATTTAATGATAATGAACCACAGAACAGAAGAGTAGAGACCCGTCAACTGATAGATCCTGGATAGTAAACTGTGCAGCCAGGCACACAGGTTACCTGCCCCCAGCTTACCTGCCTTTGGTGAGATGTATTGTTTTCCATTTTAACTTGTAACAATTATTATGCACCTACACATTAGGATTTGCAAACTTCATGCAAATCTGTGCCATTTTGGTTCATCTTTCTTTATGACACATTGCTGCTTCTTTTTTTGCAGTACCTAAGTGCCTACTCCATCCTGTATAGTGGAGGAAGAGGCAAAGTCACAAGCAACATATTGTGTGGAATTCCAACATTAATGGGAGTGGACACAAGCCCCTCACACAAATATGTACTTATAATAGTGAAGATGGAGTGAAGCCTATAAGAAACATTTTTTTTTTTTAGAAGCAAGAAGGATGAAAGTGCCAATACTGCCCCCAAGTGCCTCCCACCTTTGTGCTGCGGCCTCCAAAGTAGGAGAAATGTTGTAGCTCCCTATCAATGTGATACGAAAAATAAACCAATCCATAAATGTATCATAGGGCTGAAGTGCACATATGCAGGACATTCATGTATAGATCTGTGGACATTTTAATTTGTAGTTCAAAGCAGCCAATGAGAGTTCTCATTTGCCCTAGTGGGTTAAGTGGTAGCTGAGAGTGGGGAATTTGGGCCAGAGAAGAGCTCCACCAGCACAGCTGCTCGGTTCCACTTTTGAGTCACAGCACCTGGAAGAGATAGGACCATATGGAAGTGTACCAAGTGGAGATGCAAGAGTCTGAACCTGGGACCTTCCCAGTTAAGGTTGGGGGAAACTCGGGAGCACTACTGCAGTTGGCATAGACAACATTGAGTTAGATGGACAAATGGTCTGATATTTGGTATAGGGCTGTTGCTTGTATTTCTAGGATGTTGTTTCACTATGTTTAACGGTAGTGATCTGATGTACCATAACTCCAATCACTTTCAAATTTGAATAAACTCCTCACTATTTATGTCCCACCCACATATATAACAGCACGGCTTGCTCAGTGGGAACACCAGCTTGTGTCTTCATCAGATGCAGCTTGCATGAATTTCCGGTGTTTTCTCCCATTAAGTATCTAGAGACACATACTACACAATAATGATGTCTTTGAGGCCATCTGCTATTGAGCTGGAAAACTTCCAGCTTCAAGATACTAGCAGTTTGTTATTGGGGCATATGCTTGTCACATAGAAAATCCCAGAGTCGTTCTCCCATCATCACCAATGAGAAGACGATACATAGCAGGGCTAGGACAGGGAGCCGGTCAAGTGTCTTCCTCAAGATTTTGGAGCATTGCCAGTTGGGCTAGATGGACTAATGGTGAGACTGCTTTCACACATTAATTTGGAAACAAAGTGCTAATGTGTTTATGTCACTTGGACCCTCTTTTACCCTGCCTCTGAAAGCTTTCTGTCTTTGCTTGAGTGGCAGACATGTAAGTGCTTCCACAGCCCCATTTTGCATAATTTTAATGCAAAAATCATCATTTGATTATTCTCTCTTTACGTATTATCCAGACAAGTTATACCCGATGGATTTCATTCTTCTACACAGCTATGAAAGGTGCCAAAGCCAGCCTTAGCAGGGCCTTCCTATTGCACCAAGCTAGACAATTATACTTTTACAGAAAAGTCTAATTCTTTTGCAAAGCTCTCAGGTTTCAGTCCAAATGATGAAGTTCTCCCTTTCCCTAGCTATAGAGCTTTTCAAGCATCAAGAGGTTGGGCTGCTTTCCAAAGCTGAGAACAGGAATTCTCCCTTCCTTGCATTATCCCAGCTTGGAAAACAGCAGGATCTCCCATTGCTTTCAACTCAATATGAGAAGGGGTGGGTTATCCTTCACTTGCATTGAATCTTTGACAGCAAGATGTTTCTTTTCTCCCCCACTCCAAGAAAAATAAATAAAATTCAGCAAAACAAGAAGTTGGTGGAGGATTAATGCTGCCTGCACCCGCTTCTCTTCAGATAGTACAAACAAAAGTCATCACTTTTTCCTCTCTTCACCTTACAAATCAGAATTGTTGGAAGTTAATGAAGGTAAAGCACAATATTAAGTGCACCACAGAACTATTGTTTTAATTCAGCTAAGAGTTTGGAGTGGAAAAGTTATGATTCAGCAGTACTAAGGAGTCCTAGTCTGGAAGCAGTGAGGGTGTACAGGCAGGTTAGCAAAAGCTATTTATGAATTTAACGTGTTAAGAGATACATTCTTTAAATAAATATGTGAAACCAAAATAGTTATGTAAAATTCATAAAGAGATTAAACTACACAGTAGGATTATAAAAACCACCTACTTATGCTAATAATAAGAATACTGTTCATAATGCATACATACAATTTATTTTGTTATTTATTTCAGATAGTTAGAAACCACTTAACATTCAGAATTTGTAAGTGGTGCACAACAAATATAAAAGCAGAAACAAAGCGAGAATAATGATTAAAATTCATCAAAAAGGCAGAAAAGTACCAAAATTCCTACAGAAATAAGCAAGTCTTTGTCACGCATCTGAAATTTAGCAAGGAGGGTGTCTGACTACTGTCAGTCAGGAGGTTCTACAACACTGAATGCATGGCTTCTACTAGTTAAGAGCCATGCAGCTGAGCCATGGGGGACCACCAACAGAGACCCCCCCAAAAAAGTAATTATTTCAATTTATTAGTCACTCGCCACATAAGAAGTCTCCAAGCAACTTATGAAATTTAAAGAGCATAAAGTGTAACATATAAAGGAAAAATACACTATGATCAAAACCATGCAATAGCAAATAAAACAATTCCAATAAAATAGCACCAATAAACACCAAAATCATCATAATCCATCAGATGCTTAGGAGAGGAGATAATTTTTTACCTGGCACTGAAGGGATGCTAATGCCGGCACCAGGTGGACCTCGCCGAGGAGAGCATACCATAAGCAGGGAGGCACAACCAAAAAGGCCCTCTCCCTTGTTTTCACAATCCAAAGCTCCCTCAGAAGATGCAGCCAAAATGTGAACAGCTGAGTGCTTTTTAGCTTTCTAGCCCCAGACCTGCTTACAAGTTGGCAAATCCAACTCAAAACACCTGAGGGGAACTATTAAATGCTCCTTGCTGCCACTAATATTCAGGGTCCACAGTGAAACTCTTGAATCAGGCCCTTTGATGAAGTTGAGATAAACTGGCTGGCTCCAGACATTCCACATTGCAGAATTAAGACCATGACAATTTATTTTATTTTATTTTACAGAGCAGATTAATGAGGGAATTCAATCAACCATATAATTGCTTGTTTCTGAATTATGTGTATGTGTGTGTGTATACACACACACACAAACATTTTGATGCACACTGCTTCAGTCTTATCACATTAACTAATAAAGCAGAAAACAAAAGTGTAAATGTATCCCTTTTTCTTTATAAAATGTTATTGCTGATTAATAGTAGACCTGGAATACCAACAATGCTAATATATTTTGTATCACAAATGAAATGCATTTGATAATTGTATGAAAAATTTGGTTATTCCTAAGATTCCCAATACGCAGCAAAAATCAATTTACTTTGGACACGTACCTCATAGGTCAACAATTTGGTGCCAGCAGCTGCCTGTGTGCCCAGCAGTACCTCATATGGCATATATCCTCTCAGAAATCCACAATGCACAAGAGACTGCTTACTTTTCTTTCTCAGTTTCTGTTTGTTCTGGCTTAACCTCTTCCTCCTTTGAATATGCCCCCTCAGATAATTTCTTGAATACCATTCTGAATAGAGGAGAAGTATAAAGAGCTTCTCTATGTCATAGAATTGGAAGAGACCACAAGGGCCATCGAGTCCAACCCCCTGCCAAGCAGGAAACACCATCAGAGCACTCCTGACATATGGTTGTCAAGCCTCTGCTTAAAGACCTCCAAAGAAGGAGACTCCACCACACTCCTTGGCAGCAAATTCCACTGTCGAACAGCTCTTACTGTCAGGAAGTTCTTCCTAATGTTTAGGTGGAATCTTCTTTCTTGTAATTTGGATCCATTGCTCCATGTCCGCTTCTCTGGAGCAGCAGAAAACAACCTTTCTCCCTCCTCTATGCGACATCCTTTTATATATTTGAACATGGCTATCATATCACCCCTTAACCTCCTCTTCTCCAGGCTAAACATGCCCAGCTCCCTTAGCCGTTCCTCATAAGGCATCGTTTCCAGGCCTTTGACCATTTTGGTTGCCCTCCTCTGGACACGTTCCAGTTTGTCAGTGTCCTTCTTGAACTGTGGTGCCCAGAACTGGACACAGTACTCCAGGTGAGGTCTGACCAGAGCAGAATACAGTGGCACTATTACTTCCCTTGATCTAGATGCTATACTCCTATTGATGCAGCCCAGAATTGCATTGGCTTTTTTAGCTGCCGCGTCACACTGTTGGCTCATGTCAAGTTTGTGGTCAACCAAGACTCCTAGATCCTTTTCACATGTACTGCTCTCAAGCCAGGTGTCACCCATCTTGTATTTGCGCCTCTCATTTTTTTTGCCCAAGTGCAAAACTTTACATTTCTCCCTGTTAAAATTCATATTGTTTGTTTTGGCCCAGTTCTCTAATCTGTCAAGGTTGTTTTGAAGTGTGATCCTGTCCTCTGGGGTGTTAGCCACCCCTCCCAGTTTGTTGTCATCTGCAAATTTGATCAGGATTCCCTTGAGTCCATCATCCAAGTTGTTGATAAAGATGTTGAATAAGACTGGGCCCAAGACAGAACCCTGTGTGAGTGAGTGTGGTGGTGACTGTTAGAAAAACATAGAGGCCTAACTTGAATAGTAGAAAGTCTGGCATCTGGTGGGCGGGGCTTTTATGTTGTGCTCTGGAATCAGCCCTTCCTTCGGATGTTCAGTTAAGTTCAGTTAGAGAGACCAACTGTCATTCTTGCCTCATGTTGTTGTTTTAGTTGCTCTTAGACAGTATGCTATTGTGTTACAATGTTCTTTATTAGTAAAGCTTTCTTTGACATACAGTGGACCCTCCGGATATGAATTAAATTCATTCCGGGGGTCCGTACTTAACACGAAAAGTCCGTAACTGGAGGCGCCACATCTGCGCACATGGCACAATAGAGCGCTTCTATGCATGCGCGCGGGGCAAAACTCAGAAGTATACACTTCCGGGTTTGCCACGTTCACAACCTGAAAATTACGTATCCAGAGCGGTACATAACTTGAGGGTCCACTGTATACGTGAGCAGGGGTGTACGAATGGAGGTGCGTGGGATGCAGTTCACCCCGGGTGTCATGCCTGAGGGGGTGACAAAATGGCACACCGCAGGGGGCGGCACTTACCGTGGGGCCTGGCCTGCTGTGCACCCAAGCCACTCGTCTCTCCAGGGAGTGACGCGGTGGCTCTGGGCCCCATGCTGTCTGAAACGACAGCATGGGGCTTGTGTCCACCAGGCAGACTCCGCTGGCAGCTCACCGTGGTGCCCCCTTGGGCAGATTGCCCCGGCGCCCCCGTGCCCCGCGTGGGCGGATCCCTCCCCCGCTACTCCAGGTGCTGGAGCAGCTAGCTACGCCCCTGTACGTGAGCCGCTTACTTTGCTGAAAGAAAATAAACCCTGATGAAGAATGGTGGAATATCCTAAACTGGCTGAGAGAGGGGATATCCCCACTCTGACAGGAGGATTGATTGTTTTAAGCACTCCCACCCTCCACAACAGTGAGTAGGTGCTTTCTTCTAATTGATGGAAGGCACGGCCACACCATTTTGTGATCCTGTCTCTTTTCTCTTTTAGATGTGGCAGCCATTTTGTGTTATGTCACGCCTCTACTTCAGCCCTTTTGTTGTGCCATGCCATGCCATGCCCCGCCCCACATAGCAGCCTTTTTGTGACTGGCTCCCATGGCACTTTAAAAAAATTCTTCATGTGCCTACCAGTTCCCCCAAAATATTGACAGCCCTTGACTGTTCTAGCTCTTCTTTTAATGCACTATAATTGATCTGCAATAGTTGTAACGTTGATCATAAGCTCTGAAATAGTCACCGTAAGTCAGCCAAGAGCAAACCTTGGCTACAGCGTGTAGTTAGTGTAAAGAGAACTTAACCCTGAGACTCAGGCCACATGCAAACTATACACTTAAAGCAACATGAAGCCATTTTAAACAGTCATGGCTCCCCCAGTATAATTCTGGGAGCTGTTGTTTATTAACAGTGCTCAGTTGTTTTAAAAAATACCCCGTTTCCCTCACAGAGTTACAATTTCCAAAATTCTACATTCCCAGAATTCTTTTGGAGGAGCCATGACCGTTTAAAGCGGCGTCATAGTGCTTTAAATATATGATGTGACTGTGCACCATACAACACACACAAAGGCTAAGCCAAAACTTCTCTTGGCTTAGTGTGGTGCAGCAGTAAAAAGGACTAGGGAGGATCAACGTATCTGTAAGTTCCTCTTTGGGAGCTCTTGCAGTCTCACTAAGCCAAAATTTGGTTTCATGTGTTATGCAAAGTAGGTCAGCCTTACCTCATATTTCCTTTCAAGTCGAGGTATTTAGCCATAGGACAATGCTTACAATCATTCACAACTCTATAAACAGCTATGTCTTTACAATAATAAAATGATTTATTCACAAGAGGGATGAGAGTTCTTATGTTACCTTATGATAAGAGAAAAGGGCTACTGCCTTTCTAGTAAAAATAGGACCTGCATTGCTGTGCCCTGTAAATTTATTCATTTACTAAGTTCTGTTTGGTCTGCTAGGGAGCACCCTGCTTATCCATGAACAACCTGATCTTTTTAGAAGAACATTGCAAAAATAAAAATAAAAATCAAATCCCATTTCTGTAATGTTAAAATTCAACTTTATTTTGCCCTAAGCAGTTTTTTAAAATGCTTTTTGTAGAAGAGAAGAGAAGAGAATTTTACTTATTTTCCTCATGGATCATTTTAAACATTATGGTTATGGCACTGAAACACTTGCAGAGCAAAATTGGTGATTTCATACACTGGGGTTTCTTCGAAGTAGTAGAACATTTTCATTTACTTAGGAATAAAAACGATGCTACAGGGAGCAGCAGAAATAGGACTTTAACTGAAAGACACCCTTGAGGTATTCTGAAAGAGCTGGTGGGAAATTCTAGGTATTAAAACTTTGATATGCACTAGGATAGGATGGTGTCTAGTTAATTTTTCTACCCAGAAGACGGGTATTCAAAACCAATCTCTTATCAACTTTTCAGAGAGAAAATGCTATTCAGAGACTTCTAGCAACAGTTTGGATGTTGTGAGAAAGGACATGGATTTGTTAATTGTATTTTCAAATCACTTTTCGGGTTCATCGTTTTTTATGTACTTGAACCACAAAAATCTAACACAAGGTGTACTTTCAAAATACTTTCAATAACCATGCAATGTTTTCCTTTCTTTATATGAGACAAAAGATGCATGTTGAAAAAAACAATTTTCTACCCACCAGAAAAATAAGGAAAATGATGAGTCTCCAGTTTTTTGGTGTGTGAACAAGAATGCTATATTATACATTCTGGGATGTTGCCAATCTTTATCATGTTCAAATATGCAACTTCCAAATATTCTTTTTTGGGTAAAGTCAGTGCTAATTGATAATTTAACTTCCAGATGGATTCAATAGAAGCAAAACATTAGATTTTTCTGCTAGAGTTTTGCCTGCTCTTTACTTTGCTCCCCATTCCTTCTCCAACCCTCTACCATAGAAACATACACAAAAAAGGCCCCAAAGAGATAGGTACAGTGGTACCTCTGGATGTGAACGGGATCCATTCTGGAGCCCCGTTCGCATCCTGAAGCGAACGCAACCCGCATCTGTGCGTCTGCACATGCGCGGGTCATGATTTGCCGCTTCTGCACATGCACGTGATGTCATTTTGAGCGTCTGCGCAAGCAACGAAACCTGGAAGTAATACATTCTGTTACTTCTGGATCGCCGCGGAGCGCAACCCGAAAACGTTCAACCTGAAGCAACTTCAACCCGAGGTATGACTGTATTAGATTGGTGGTTTCCAGAGATCCTTTACTAGCTGAACGCTATTTTCAGATTGTTACTCTAAGCCATAGAGAGAAGGGTTACTAAGGAAACCAGGAACTATGGTAACCTGGGCAACCTTACGGGTCCCAGAGAAAGATGGGGGACCCCCCCCCCAATTCATACTATATATGCGTGTGTTCAGCTGCAGGTCTTATTCCTTTCTTTAGAGGACAGATGCAACAATATTTTCATTCTTTTCCCCCTCAAGAATCTAGAAGAATTTCATGAATCATGTCAAGTGAGGAAATGAAAGACACTTTTAAAAACAGGGTCTCTACCTGCTGAGTGCAATTTGAAGTTGTGCCAGGCCAAATCATCCAAGATTAAAGATGACATTAAGAAAATGTACTATTTTTGACATGTTCTTATTAACTTAGCAGCATGCTAAAGGTAACATGCAATTATCAAAGGGGTTTAATAATTGGTATTGTTACACACCACCCCAATCTCCACAGCCATGCAAGATTCCAGAGGTTACAGGCGCATACCCAGGGTTCGTGTTTGGAATTTGGAAATGAGGCACAGTGGAGACAGCGGTGTCTTTATGATATATGGTTTATTTACACATACAGTGGTACCTTGGTTCTCGAACTTAATCCACTCCGGAGGTCCATTCAACTTCCGAAACATTCAAAAACCAAGGCACAGTTTCCGATTGGCTGCAGTAGCTTCCTGCACTCAAGCGGAAGCTGCATCAGATGTTTGTCTTTCAAAAAACCTTCAAAAACTGGAACACTTTCTTCCTGGTTTTCAGCATTCAGGAGCCAATTTGTTCATCAACTAAGCCGTTCGAGAACCAAGGTTCCATTGTATACTGTGGAGGGGCTCAAAGCATTACACTCCTATTGGGTCTTGCTCCCTCCATAAGCACAGCCCTGGATCCAAAAACAAATAACCCATGGTATTTGTTCTGCAGCTCACAGTGTTTTGCAGACTGCCCCCCTTCACCTCCAGCTCACATCACAGCCAAAACTCTAAAACTCTATTCTCAGGCTTTTGTCTTTCTAACTAATTCTGAGTTAACAGAGGGGTCCCTCCCATTTGCCATCTGGCACAAAGCCAGTGAGGTGTAGTGATTAAGAGTGGTAGACTCGTAATCTGGTGAACCGGGTTCGTGTCTCCACTCCTCCACATGCAGCTGCTGGGTGACCTTGGGCTAGTCACACTTCTTTGAAGTCTCTCAGCCCCACTCACCTCACAGAGTGTTTGTTGTGGGGGAGGAAGTGATAAGAGAACGTTAGCCGGTTTGAGACTCCTTTGATAAAGCGGGACATCAAATCCAAACTCCTCCTTTTCTTCTTCCTCCTCTTCTTCTTCTTCTTCTTCTTCTTCTTCTTCTTCTTCTTCTTCTTTATCCCAACTATGACCCATCCTGGCTCCTAGCTTGTATTTTTAGCACGGCTTATATTTTAACATGCTAATTTCAGCATCTGGCACCCAGGAATTAGAAGGGGAGTCCAGGTGCCCCACAAACTTATAACACTATAATATAGCCCTTTTCACTTGTTGTAATACACATGTAGGGGTGCTGTGCACTGTGGTATAGTTCATAGTGCTGCATGCATATAACGTGTAAAGAGCTGTTGTATACAAAACATTATACAGTTGATTTTCCAGCTTGAATCTTGACGACCTACCCTCCAGTATACAATGCCAGAGTGCGTATGCAGGATCTCTTAAAAGGTAATTTTGTGTTGATCCTGAGGGTGCATACTTGATTAAGAATAGATGAAGTCCATTTCGATGTGACATCCAGGTCCACCTAGCTCAGCGTTCTTTCCAATACTCCCAACAGCCAACGGGTACTAAAAGGCCTATATTTAAAAAGCCAATTGTCCATTGATGGATTTTGGTTGACCTTCTGCCCATGCCTGGATTATAGCAATTGTGAAGTCAAGTAAGGTGTGAAGCAGCTTTATATCAAAATAATAAGTACCATTTGCAGGGGAGGGGACAGAACTGACTTGTGCATGAGCTGCGTTTGAGATATTCAGCTTGCAAGCACTTAATTCTGGAAAAAAAATAGAGGTGTGTGTGCATTGTAAGATGAATTAACCTGTTTCTCCTTAGAGATCTGACTCCCTGAACCACTTCCCAAAAGAGGTCCAGGAGTTCATGCACCCTATTCCCCAAACTGCTGTCAGCTACATCCCATTGCCACACTCTGCTTTCCCTGGGCCTTACCTCTGCCTTGTGATGGCTATTCAGGAAATGACACAGTAAGTATATTATACATGCATACGTAATACATTTATTGAGCTGACATTAAAAAAGCAGTGAAGTCAAAGATAAAGGCAAGGGGCAGTACTGCCCTTCATTGGCTGATGAGATGCACAACAATAGAAAATAAGATTGCAATGAGGTCACATCAGGATTCCTCATCTACTAAATGTCACTTGGGGATAGAAGAAAAGGAGAAGTGAGGCTGCTGTTTTTAGTAGAAGCAACTCATCTCCTGAAATGTGTACACAATAAAACACCTGGGGAAAGGTCTAAGAAAGTCACACCACCAGCAATCTCACAAACTACCTGATCCTATGGTTTGCTACACTAAATTATGTCAGCATAAAATGTAGCTGTGATCCTTTGCACTCTTAGCCTTAGAAAGAAAAACAGTACCAGAGGAAGTAAGAGAAAACTTAGTAAGATGGATACACATTTCCACAGGCCTGCAGCAACTTCCGCCGCCACCACCCATTCTAATATGTTTAGGAAAACAAGGGTTTCACTTGCAACCACCTCGGTGGGTTGCCAGGAAATAAAGTGGTATTTAATGTTTATCATAGGTATATATCTCACCCAAAGTTTGCGTTCTTGGGCCTGGAATGCAAATCTTAGTAACTTGCAATACTTGCCTCAAATGTGATACAAGGGTTTCAACCCTCTAAGTTTCTCTATGCTTTTACATGCACAGACACCCCACCAAATCCCCTCTGACTTCTAATTCCCATTCACCCATAAATACCCACTCCCTTCCCAGTGCAAGTCTCCAACCATTTACTCATATTTGACTTTCCCATTTTTTGAGGATGTGGAAATACACACTGGGATGGAGAGGACTATGCGTGTCCATGTGTCTGTGTCCCCGACTTTTATATCTGCCCCCTGAATGTTCATATACCTACCTTCCTTCTTCTTCTTCTTCTTCTTCTTCTTCTTCTTCTTCTTCTTCTTCTTTTCGTTCTGCCCAGACACTGAGGTCCAGCACTGAGGGCCTTCTGGCGGTTCCCTCGCTGCGAGAAGCCAAGTTACAGGGAACCAGGCAGAGGGCCTTCTCGGTAGTGGTGCCCGCCCTGTGGAACGCCCTCCCACCAGATGTCAAAGAGGAAAAAAACTACCAAACTTTTGTTGTTGTTGTTTAGTCGTTTAGTCGTGTCCGACTCTTTGTGACCCCATGGACCAGAGCACGCCAGGCACTTCTGTCTTCCACTGCCTCCCGCAGTTTGATCAAACTCATGCTGGTAGCTTCAAGAACACTATCCAACCATCTCATCCTCTGTCGTCCCCTTCTCCTTGTGCCCTCCATCTTTCCCAACATCAGGGTCTTTTCCAGGGAGTCTTCTCTTCTCATGAGGTGGCCAAAGTATTGGAGCCTCAGCTTCACGATCTGTCCTTCCAGTGAGCACTCAGGGCTGATTTCCTTCAGAATGAATAGGTTTGATCTTCTTGCAGTCCATGGGACTCTCAAGAGTCTCCTCCAGCACCATAATTCAAAAGCATCAATTCTTCGGCGATCAGCCTTCTTTATGGTCCAGCTTTCACTTCCATACATCACTACTGGGAAAACCATAGCTTTTACTATACGGACCTTTGTTGGCAAGGTGATGTCTCTACTTTTTAAGATGCTGTCTAGGTTTGTCATTGCTTTTCTCCCAAGAAGCAAGCGTCTTTTAATTTCGTGGCTGCTGTCACCATCTGCAGTGATCATGGAGCCCAAGAAAGTAAAATCTCTCACTGCCTCCATTTCTTCCCCTTCTATTTGCCAGGAGGTGATGGGACCTTTTAGAAGACATCTAAAGGCAGCCCTGTTTAGGGAAGCTTTTAATGTTTAATAGGTTATTGTATTTTAGTGTTTTGTTGGAAGCCGCCCAGAGTGGCTGGGGGGACCCAGCCAGATGAGTGGGGTATACATTATTATTATTATTATTATTATTATTATTATTAAGCACAGTACTTCCAGTCAAGTTCCGGGTGTCCTGAACTGGTGTTTGTCAAAATGTAAAGAGAAGAGTGATCAGATGGTGGATCTCTGCAGTCATCTATTTTGATTCTGGGAGCAGCATCCTCCATTGTAACTCTGGAGGAAGAGGAGGAGGAGGTGGGGAGCCAAATCTCTGGGACTCGCCACTAAATTTATTAGGACTAACCCCCCCCCCGCCCGCCCACAGATATGACAGTATCCCATCTTTTTTGTGGGCATCAACCACTGAATAGGCAGGGATAAAAACTAACTCTGCTTGTCCCCTGGTTCCTTCGCTTTTTACACCTTTTACCAATGGCACACTATCAACAATGTAGATATCCTGGCATAATGTTACAGTAGTGCAGTGTACATAGAAGATGTACACTTACATGTATATTTACATAGAATATATTGTAATATTCAACCCGTACTCAGCATTTCTTTCTGGACAATGCCCCCCCCAAAGGCCAATGATAGACAGGGCCAGAGGCAAAAACAGGTTGAGAAAGACATTATTGGAGTTCAAGGACACATTGAAGCCAGAGAAAGAAAGAAAGAAAGAAAGAAAGAAAGAAAGAAAGAAAGAAAGAAAAGAAAGAAAGAAAGAAAAGCAGGACCAATGAATGGTCCTTCATTATGTCAACATATCTCTGGTTTCACTGAAGCATGAGGATTTAGCAGCAATTATTATTTAGTATTACTTAGTAGCAATTATGAGCACCGCAACCCCAGAGTCGGTCACAACTGGACCTTAATGGTCGGGGGTCCCTTTACCTTTACCTTTTATGCCTTGCTGAACAGGCATAAAGACATAATTTGAAGATAGGATTTGTACTGTTATTCGTTTAAAAACGTGCAAATAATGACTTGCCAGTAGTTCCCTGTGAAACTGAATCTTTAAAAAGAAAAAGAAAATGAAATCATGCTAAAATTTGTAAAAACAGTACCTTGCAGTTTGAAAATTAGCTGCTGGGTTTTTTACATATTTGGGTGGGAGAAGCATTTGCCAGCTCAGTGTGTTTGGTTAGATGTTAAGGCTATATGAAATGACTTTTATTTATTCTTCCACTCACTCTAGATGTGTAGTACAATTCAAATCTCACATCATGAGATGTTTTCTGACTTTTAAATAATTGTTATCTGCTGAATAATTATCAGGTTTGCATCATGCACCCATATTCTGGACATGTTCTCATGTGCATTTTTGCTGAAATAACAAGGATGTGCCTGTAGTTGCTGTAACTTTTATAACTTGCAGTAGTAGTATGTGTTACACACATACACTCTTGTTTGTTTGTTTTTAGATGACATGCACGGCTACTTCTCTGAATGACAACCTGAAAATGCAAGCACATGATCATGAATGAATTCTTGTGTAGTCTGTGATGAGCTGGATGTAAAATTCCTGGATCTGTGGCAGTCTGGTGCAGCGGCTTGGAAATTCTAATGCAGTTTAATTTAAATTAAAAATGAAGGTTCTTAATGAAATATGAAATTGAATAATACAGTCTCTATAGTAGCCTCGTTGCTGTTTATTTTGATATTAAATTGATTTTATGCTATCTCTACAATTCCATTTTGCGGTATGTCCATTATTTTAGCATTGGCAATATTTCATGGCACCAAGTTTAAGTGGACGCTAGAAAATTGGGGAGGGTGAGCTCTGGGACAGAGTAGGCAAAGCAATCAGATAGGACTCATTTTTACAAAGGTCATGAAAAAAGTTGACCCAATTCCTTTCCAACTATATAGCTTGGGCAATAGGAGCAAAGACATACCACAGCATTCAGGATGAGACAAGCGATCCTTCCTAGAAGTGCCAAAAGTACAGAACACAGATGCAGAATTAAGGAATACCAGCTAAGAACCACAAGGGGCATAGTTTACTTCACCTGTTTGTTAAAACATTCTGAACATGAAATTGTACATTACATTGTATTTTGGCCTTTAGGATTACTTCTTCATGCAAGCCTGTTTCCTATTCTGAAGTTTTGCTGCAGCTTATAATTGTAGACCTCACAGCTTACTTCAGGTGGAACTCTGGTAAATAAATTGCAGAAATATATAGCCGCATAGCAAGGTACACTCACTATCATAAACAAATAAATTTCATATTTCTGGCTGGGAAGGGAACACACACCAGTTTTACTGCTGTGGTGACATCAGATGAGAATGCATAAAAATCATGGGCAAGTTATAGAGCTGGTGGGAGTATCAAGGGTTTGATAGCAATAGTAAGCACTTGAACTAGTTCATGAGCATATGAAAGAGAGATTTTACTCTCAAAACATATCAGGTGCCATTATGTATATAACCAAGTAGCCACAAAATCACACATGCCACGAAGACTGTAGTACATGGCAATGTAGTCACAACCTGACATGCATCTGGAATAGGATCAAAATCAAAAGTCTTGCCATCCATTTCTGGAAGGCAATGAAATTAGCAGCTAAGCACAGCACAGCAAACCTGGCAATGAGAACCAATGGACTGGTAGGGTGGAAAGCAGGGTGGCGAATACTACATGGAACCAGAGTCAGTGATAGGTGGAGCCAGAACTAATGACAAGTGAAGCCAACTAATGTTAGCTTTGTTCCCATCCTCCTGATGAAGCTTATAAGGGCAAGACTGAGAATGAGGATGATGACAGCCAGGGCTAACCCCCTGGGCTGGTTGTAAGAAAAAAGCAGGGTGCTGGCTGAGTACAGGGTAACCTTTGTGGGGCAATGCCCCATTTATCCTAATGGACAATCATCTGCTGACTTTGGGGACACACCACCTTTCACAATTAGATCAGTGGACAGGCTTTATTTTCCCTCAATGTCATCACATAGCCAAACCTGGCTGACTATGTGCTGTTATCATATTCACAATATGGTCCCTGATGGGGTTGGTACCATCAGACAGTGATAAAATGGCACCAAAGCAGCAACAGATTGGAGAGGGAGGACACCAGCTGTGAACAGGTGTAAACAAAATGCACACAAGAGTGGAAGGCAGGTGTATTATCACAAACTCTTTTATCCCTTTAAAAAAGGGCAACTGTCATGTCAAAAGCTGAACCTCATAAAAATTCAGGGCAGCACTCAAGGCAGTCTGATCTCAATAGCACAACATGTCTTTCACAAATGCTGCCTTATCCCTCATCCTCTAGCCTAGCAATGGCAGAAATATGAACAACTCAATAGATTTGGAGGGTTTGTTATTCTGGGAACATAGACATCTAGTCACCCAACTGCCGTGGTTTTGTTCCAGTAACATGGGGATTTACCACATGTTGTAATTGGACACATACCAATGTTTGCATTTCCATTGCATTTCCATATAAGAGGCTAAAAAAATCTGCTTCCAAGCTGGGAAAAGTCTGAAAATGTCTTCAGCACTCCCCCACCCCCATGAAATGAAAGTTTAGATGCTAAAATGCAACACCTGTGTGCATTCCACATGCTCTTAAGGGAAAATCCAGTAGACTTCCTTCTCCTTTTTCCCATCTCCTTTGCATTCAACTAAGAGACAAATGAGGTACATAAAACTTAAGATCTGATAACGGCACCCATTGCTCGACAGATCAGTGCTTTAAACAAGCTTGCTGCAGAGGATCAGAAAAGTAATAGTAATATACCTGTAAGTCATTCATCCACAAAAATGACTGGGAACCTGGAGATAACCTAGAAACCATAACGTGGAATTAATGCATTAAGTAGGAGGCAATGAAGCGTTAAAGATATTCACTTAAACTAAAAGAACAACTCAAAGCTATATTCCACCTAATTTGATGTTGATTTAACTTCAAGCTCAATTTCTGAGATACTGAACACCTCATGAAATATTTAGAGAGCTCTCAGGTTCATTGATTTCAGTGGGAGTAGCAAGCATTCATTACCGGAGTGCCTTACGCAGCGGTCCATGCAGTGTCTTGCGTAGTTGCTTCCAGCAAGGAGTGCCACAAGGAGTCTCACTGAGTAGTAGAGAGAGAACCAATGCTTTCAATGGAGAAGGACATGAGATATGGGAGACTGCTACATCAACACTACACAAGTACGTAACCACTGATAGCCTAGCAGTCAAAAGAGCAACGTACTAATGGGGTGATCCCCTACCTTAACCACCACCTCACTATGCCTACTGCTAAGGGTGGATGTGCCCCTCACTCATGAAGCAAATGGTATTCTACCAGCAAGCCAAGTCAGGAGATGCTGATGTTGGTTGGGGACTCTCAGTACTAGGGATGGATGGCCTGTTGCTGTTTCTCTGAGTTTCTTATCTTCCAATTCTTAAGTTCAGGTCCACAAATTTCCACATCGGTTTGTTTTTTTAAAAAAAGTCCTTGAAAATTTGCTAGCGTTTAGTGCAAGTTCCTCTAGATGTACACATTTTATTTGCATGTAATACACCCACTTTTGCAAGTAATTTTCCAGAATATAATGTATTTCTGTATGTTTCCATTAATAAAGACGGAACCGTCATCAGCCTGAGAGAAATGTTGGGGCAGCTACTCCCATGCATTCCCTGGGACAGAAGAGAGGGAGCCCATACCATCACCTCCCATACAGCTTGAAGCGATTATGTACCATATTTGTTTCAATATTTTAAAATGGTAAGCCACCATGAGTGCCTTGGCAGGAAGTTGGTATATAAATACAAACACACAGAGACAGAGACAGAGACAGAGAGAGAGAGAGAGAGAGAGAGTGTGTTATGCATACTTTCCCCTAATACATGGATTCCTGTGCATTGGAGAACTGCAGTGCAAAATTTCCAAGTGCAAATTTCAAGGGATAGCTGTGTTTTGGTTCCCATATTGTTTGGAAGTACAGGTTAGGTAGGTTCACATAAAAATGCATTTCTCTCCTGTCCCTACTCAGAATGTACAGAAATTGAACCAGTGAAAAAAAGACAGCTGTACCTGGATGCTAGACGGTTAAGTACAGCCAAAGGTAACTATGGGGTGTGGTGCTCATCTTGCTTTTCAAGCCAAGGGAGCTGGCGTTTGTGCACGGGCAGCTTTCCAGGTCATGTGGCCAGCATGACTGCTGCAATGGAACACTGTGACGAGTGCCAGAGTGCACAAAAACATCGCTTACCTTCCCGCCACAACAGTATCTATTTATCTACTTGCACTGGTGTGCTTTCGAACTGCTAGGTTGGCAGAAGCTGGGACAGAGCAACAAGAGCTCACTCCATTATGGAGATTTGAACCGCTGACCTTCTGATTGGCAAGCCCAAGTCCTTCCACTCCAGCTGAGACCCCTTCCCTTCAGCTTTCAGCTGCTATTGCTGAAGCCATCAGAGGGAGAAGAACAAGCTATCGGGCACCCTCCATTATGCTAGGATACCATTCCAGCTGACAACTTCCTTCTGCCCAGCCACCACGTGCCACCCCTTAGACCACCAGAGGAAGGGGAAACAATTGTCCTTCCATCATGCTGAAATCCGTAGGAACATACCTTATACGAAATCAGAACATTGATCCATCTAGTTTAAGATTGTCCACACTGACTGGCAGCAGAGCCTTTCCCAGGCCTTCTTGGAGATGACAGGGATTAAATCTAGGACCTTCTGCATGCTACACAGGTGCCCTACCATAAACTATGACCCTTTCCTAGCTCCATGACTGGCTCAGTTACATCCTGGTAAACTTTGTACCTATGAACTAGTATCTGAGTTTGCTGTTTACCTCTTTGCCAATCCTTTTTGCTTTTACACCATATCTTTTAGACTGTAAGCCTCAGGGCTTATTTCTGATCTATGTAAGCTGCCCTGGAAGCCTTTTTCAGCTGGAGAGTAGGATAAAAATGCTTTAATGTAAGTATAAATAAACTCACAGGCTGAGGTGTGATCTAGTATTAGTTTTTGGATAGGCTGTTTGAGTAGAAAAGCTTTGAAGAGTTAATATGCATGTAAATACCTAGCAATTGGTACATTTTATGAATTCAAATCACAGAGCAAGCTGCAAAGCATCGCTGCCATTGTCCCATGAATTGAACTTTATTACACATAATAATCAAAATGTGTAGAAGAGAAGCTCTAAGGAGTTAGGAGACTATCATTAGGAATTTACAGAACAGCAGCAACCAGGCTAGATTATGTCAAATGAAGCAACCCTTTAAAAACCCAATTGGGGGAAAAGTTGCAAATGTGTAGGTATCTCTCTGTCACTTGGTAATTAGGTATCAGCTGTTACACAGTGGAACAATGAAGCCGTTCTCAATGCGCCAACACAATTTTCTTAGTGTTGCATGTCTGGATTTTATGTGCCTGGCAGGCAATAATATATCTGGGGAAACTTGCTGGAAAGTCAATGACTCTGCTGAAACCAGTGACTGCTGAGCTCCCACAGGCTCATTTGAAATGAGCTCACCTCAAATGAGTTAATCTTTACTTGATTCAATTTGAACTTGATTCAATCCTGTCCCAAATTAAACCCATCTAATCTCAGCCCCATTCCACTGTAAAGCCTGATCGTGTTCCTGA